ACTACAGAGACTACACACGGTTGGACGCTTGACGACATCATAAGCTTTACTGTTAGAATTAATTCTTAGTTTCTTTGTTTTATAAGAGTGCAAGTTAAGCTAATAAATGTATAGTTTATTTTCTGTTAAAAGAGGAATGAATTTCACCGTTTATTTTAAAGATTACTAGATTACTAGAAATACGTGCCAAAGATGATCGAAACTAATTTTTCAATCCCTCAGGAACAATATTTTTTTCTGGATTAAAGGACCTTATGTCCTTTTCTGTATCCCTGACAATATGTGTACAAAATTTCATGACGATCGATATTAGTTAAGATTAAACCACACTATCTTGCTTAACCTGAACAATTTTATCGAATTATCAAACAATATGAAGTTTTGAATATGGTTGAACGAAGTTTATCGTCATAATTTAATTAATTTTATTTCGAATGGCACTGATGATAATAAACACTTATTGTTTCAAGTCCAAAATTTTTGTAATGTTTCTCTATTAGTTTGTTAATTAAGAATATAGTTTAAATTGTAAATTTAAAATATGTTGAAAAGATAAAATTATTATATTTCTTTTAAATTCATGTAGTCGCTGGAAGTCGTAATTAAACTTAGCGAAATGTTCAACGAAAAATCGATCATTATTATTGATTATCTATTAAATTTTGTCCATATCCCTATGATTTCACTGAGAAATTACCACGTGAAGGACACGAGCTGAAATAGGCTCATGCCTAAAGAAAATTATAAAAAAAAATAGACACAATTTAAAAGTTCGATGATGTTGACCGCTAGTAACAAAAGTTTAGGAAAACTTTTTCGAGAGAGTTAGTTATAGTTTACGAAAAAGCTTCTGATAATTGATAAGTAATAAAGACCAGCCGAGTCTGTAAAAAACAACCCTTACGGAGGACAGAGAAGAGGATGAGGGTGGCAGAGCGAGACGGCGGACGGCGGGCGTCGGGCGAGGGAAAATAATCGAAAAACGTCAAGACGTCTCTGCGACTTCCATTAAATTTAAAACGTTAATCGAAGCACGCCCTGAATAAAAATTCCCCTCGCGAATGGACGAGCGGATGGCCCGCGCGCGCGGGGGTTCGCGAGGGACCGGGGCCGGGGGCGCGGATTGAGGGGGCGAACGGAGCGAGAACCAAAAAGGTGGCGTCGGCGAGAGGTAGCCGCGGGGTTAAGGAAGGACGGCAAAAAAGTAATGAGATCCTTGTTTTTATCGATCATCCCCTTCTTCGTCTCCCACTTGTTCTTCTTCTTCTTCTTCTTCTGCAAATCAAGGGAGAATATTAAAAAGCCTTTTCTTATTTCGCTCGGCGCTCTCCCTTCGTCTCGCTGACCCCCGCGCTTCCTTCATTCATTGCCACACAGGGTGTCAAATATTAAATAGCCAACCGAGAACGTTTTTGATTTTTTTTTGTTCCGACTAAAAGGAAAGGTTGTAATTCCGAGAGAAGAAATTTTGAAACTATCGACGTTTTGAAATCACTTTTTTACATTTAATACAGGATAATTTTGAACATTCATGTGAAATTAATTTTCAACCCTCTAGAGAATATCTCAAATTAATGAAAAAAAAAAAAAAATTGTTGGTGCTGTCACGCGCTCGCCGAGAATTGCACCCGGGTCTCTGGTTTTACTCATTAATTTGAGGTATCTAATCTGGTAGGGAGGGTAAAAAATTAATTTCACATATATGAAGGTCTAGTCAGAGACATACTAGAGGCAGAAACGGGAGTTAGAAGGGGTAGAGGTAGACCTAGATTAGATTACTGTTCGCAAATAGTTAAGGATGTGGGTTGTTATAGTTTTAGGGAAATGCGAAGATTAGCTCAGGACAGGAATGAGTGGAGGTGCGTATCCAACCAGTCTCAGGTGACGACCTTATGATGATAATGATGATGATGATGATATGTATGTTTAAAAATAAATAATTGAAAATTAATTTCACATGTATGTACGTTTAAAAATAAATTATTATTGCGTTTTTTCCAATAAAAGATGATTAAAATTTTTTTTATAGAAGCATTTGATGTAAACTGAATTGCATACAGAGGTCGAAGACATAACGTATTATTTTTAAGGTTTGGTTCTAGCTTTGGAGAAGCCTAATGCATGTGTAGAAGCTGCTTCAGAAGTCCGAAATCTAGATGTATTTCAATCTCCACCCTTTTCTTATTAGGTCAGTCAAATTAGATGAGATTTGATGCTAAAAATTTCACAAATGATAAAGGGAAAGGTGCAGGAGTTAAACCGTCGAGTGCGTCAAAAACTGATAAGCAGATAAATTTTTGTTTCTTGGCCATAGAATGAAATCGGTACATTTTAGATAAAAACTTCAATGCAATACTAGTTGTAGATAGGTAATGAAAATACATACAAAATAAGCTACGTAAAATTAAAATAGGTTTTCTTTATAATGACTTTAAAACTCGACCTTTCATAATTGCAGGCTATGTCTAATAAATCAAATAAAAAATCATAAAATTTTATTACTGTTCTATTTTAGTAATAAAAAAATGTGCTAAGTTTTCAAATCTAAAAGTAGTATAATTGTTTTCGAGTAACTGAATTTATTTATAAGCAATTGCAAAATTTTACAAAGTATCCTGACTCCTGCAAAATCGTCACTCTTGATGCCGTTTTAAACCTCACTTATGTTTATTTGCCTTTTTTAATTGTTTGAAACACCTACACTTTACATTTACATTTAACATTTTTTTCCAAAATGCATCGATTTCATTCTATAAACAAAAAATAATAAACAATCTCTCCTTTTCCTAGATATTGATGCACCAGATGGTTTTAGGTTTTCTACTTCTTTCGCTACCATTAGTGTTGCCCAAATTCAGTCTTGGTCTTGCAGTCTTGGTCTTGTTCTTGCGTTTTTGCAAGACCAAGACCAAGAACAAGACCGCGTATTTTTAGCAAGACCAAGACCAAGACTGACCGTGCAAGACTTGAGCAAGAACAAGACATAGCCTGCAAGACTCTTGCGTCTTGCAGCTAGGACTTAGCGCTATTTCACTGAGTAGTTAGGTGTAACAGTTCGGTGTATAGGTAGGTACGCTTAGGAATTCTATGAGACGCAAAAAACTGTATCAAAGAATATGAAAAACTGGACCTATGCGCATTACGACTAATACCATAAACATAGCGAATAAAAAAATTATTAAAATCAAACTGAGTGCATGCATAGTTATGTTTTAACCATCGGCACTTTGATAATGCGGCATCAAAGGTTTTGTACTTACTTCTCAAAGAAATTTGCCGCTTTTCGGAAGTACATGGTTATGATACACGCGCCGGCGGCTTCTTTTGAAATCTAAAACAATCGTTGCCGCCACGCCGAAATCATAACATTTGACACTATTTGATTGCCGCCATAGGGTGTAGGTATACTCATGCAAAATAATTTCGAATTTTTTTACACGCTTTATATTATTGTTTGATTTGCGGCGGCATCCTTATCATAGAGCCGGCACGTGGCGAGGCGGCGCGGTAGAAAGCAAGGATCATAAATGTTTATTAAGAAACAGTTACTTCCATGGAAAACGACATATAGGTCAGTTGATTTTTCGAATTTCTTATCAAATCTTCAGTTATTTATTAATCTGCTTGATCTTTACTATGGCTATATTCATTCAAGCTCACAATGTTCCAATTCTAATACGTTTTTCTAGGATTTAAAGTAAACTTTAATAAATAGTAATAGACTAATAGGTAATTGCAAGACTTGCAAGACTCTTGCTGCAAGACCAAGACCAAGACCAAGACTGGGAGCGCAAGACCAAGACCAAGACCAAGACCAGGTGTATTGGCGCAAGACCAAGACCAAGACTGGCTAAGTCTCGTCTTGTTCTTGCGTTTGGGCAACACTAGCTACCATATCCACTTAAAAAATTACATACTGCAATTGTAAAATTTTCAAAACGGATTAACTATTTGTGTACAGTAATCTAATTCAATAGATCTATTTCTAATCCTTTTTACTCCTAATCTTGCTTCAAAAAGTTTTGTTTATTTATCTTTTATTATTTTTAAAAAAATGTTTAATATCAGTTGAGTGAAATCTATAAAAGATTTTCCTAAACTCAATAACTTAATTTAGGCCGTATTTTGTAAGAGGAAATCTTCCTGAAGCACTCTGTATAGAGCATGCGAATTTGATGGCAATTTAAAAAAAACTTTAGATTAAACTTCGTTTTAATTTAAAACGGCGAACCAGAAGGAACTAAGGTCGTCTAATAAAAGGTGGCATCGTCGACGGACGGCGTCGGGACGCTCTTTTGCGCATTTCTTTCGTGCTCGACCTCATCTCTTCCACCTACCCCCTCGACTACCACGGCCGATCCACAATACGGTTCCTTTGAAAACGGTACCTACCTTTTTATATTTTTAGTTTAACTTTGAAGGGCTTCTAATATTAGAGGAAAAGTTGTAGGAGACCCAAAACTTATGAAAAGACGAAAATAGAATTTTTTCTCTCTCTCTTTTTGTGTCTTATAATTTTAAGGAAGAGGAAAACTGAACAATTAACGTATGAACGAATAGATAATCAATAAAAAAATCGGTTGTCTGTAAAGTCGGTTTACTGACGATAGTTGAACGTGACAACGTCATAAGAAAATACTGATGGAATGGTTTCATTTTTTCAAAAGAAAATTTTAATTTTATTTGTTTGATAGATATTCTGTATGGATATAGAGAAGGAGGTAAATGAAAATGTATTACTTTAGAGCAGCTGTCCACGCGGACGCATCGCTCTCAAGTAGGAGAGAGACAGATATCGAACGCTGCGGAACGCGGAGGCCGATTGTGCCTCTTTGTCGCTCGTTCCGCGCTCGCGCTTGTACTTCAAGCCTTAAATGGAACGCCTCAGAGTGAGGTAACGCCGCATGAGTCATGTTTTTTCGTGCGTGCAGCCGGCTCCATCGAATTATAAGACGTTGTGACGTCAAAAATGTAAAATAATATATAATTGAAAAACTCACCGGCAAATTTCTTCTCATTTCTGGCGCCTGGATCGACGACATCTTCACGCATAACGAGTGGAAAATTTTTCTATACTTCTACCAATTCTGAAACAATAATAAAATCTTTTCAATAACATTCGGTCTGCCTCGTCCTGTTATCGCCTGACCAGAACCCCGATGTTACGTACACAATATGAGGATTTATATGCAAATAGAAATATTAATATATTTATTGAAATGAGAAACACGCTTACAGGAATTTCTACTTAAAATTACAATTGCTATCAGGTATCATAAGGTTCGTTTTTATATATATATTTTTATTGCGTTAACTAGCAGATGGATTTTGAACATTATCCGGTATTTCTTGTCAACGTAGCTATAACGGCTTTTGATAATCCGGACGAGTATTAAAAGGTAAAATAAGCAACTAAATGAAAACTTATTAAATTAAATAATTTATAGATACATTAAAAATTCTCAGACAGTTTTTATATTAAAGCACTGGTTTTAAAGCTTTTTCCGAATATGTTTTAACCCCCCACCCCTAAAATCAGTACAATATCATAATTAAAAATTTTACAATTATAGACCATCAGCAATTACCCTACAGATTTTGATTGCGTTGACTTAGAAATTTTACTTTTTCACAGATGCAAGGGATTGCAAACCTGACTATTCGACATTAATTTCAACTTGATATCTTCACGCATTCCTGATAAAAACGGTCTTGACAAACAGACAGATGGACAACAAAAGGATCTTATATGGGTTCCTTTGTTCCTTTTGAGCTACGCAACCCTAAAAGACAATACCAATACGTCTGATAGCTTGGCTCACGGGTGCGTGACCAAGAAAGCCAAAAGAGTATGGAGTGGACGCCCAAAAGAGGCTGTTACGGACGAAAACATTAAAAAAATCCACAAAATGATTTTGAATGACCGTAAATTGAAATTGAATTAAATAGCAGACACTCTGCAGATATCAACGGAACGTATACATCACATCATTCACGAATATTTGGGTATGAGAAAGCTCTGTGCAAAGTGGGTGCCGCGCGAGCTCACTTTTGACCAAAAACAACGACGAGTTGATGATTCAGAGCAGTGTTTGAAGATGATCACGCGTAATAAACCCGAGTTTTTGCGTCGATATGTGACAATGGATGAAACATGGCTCCATCATTTCACTCCGAAGTCCAATCGACAGTCATCGGAGTGGACTGCACACGATGAACCCGCTCCAAAGCGTGCAAAAACGCAACAGTCGGCTGGCAAGGTTATGGCGTCTGTATTTTGGGATGCGCGTGGAATAATTTTCATTGACTACCTTGAAAAAGGAAGGACCATCAACAGCGACTATTACATAGCGTTATTGGACCGTTTGAAGGACGAAATCGCCGAGAAACGACCGCATTTGCAGAAAAAGAAAGTCCTGCTTCACCAAGACAATGCACCGTCTCACAAGTCAGTGAAAACGATGGCAAAAATTCATGAATTGGGCTTCGAATTGCTTCCGCATCCACCGTATTCTCCAGATCTGGCCCCCAGCGACTACTTCCTGTTCTCAGATCTCAAAAGAATGCTCGTTGGGAAAAAATTTTCGTCGAATGAAGAGGTGATCGCCGAAACTGAGGCCTATTTTGAAGCAAAGGACAAATCGTACTACAAAAATGGTATCGAAAAGTTGGAGGATCGCTATAATCAGTGTATCACCCTTGAAGGGAATTATGTTGAATAAAAAAAACGAATTTTGCAAAAAAAATGTGTTTTACTATTTTAGGCCGGGGACTTTTCAATTGACCTGTTATGTGTCAACCGTTCCGATTAAACTAAATTTTCGATATTCATCCATTATTTAATTAATCCAGTGTTTTCCAAAAATGAATATAATCGATTTATGATGGATTAAATTTCGATTAATCTTAGGTATTAATTGGAAATAATCTGGGCAATTCTTTTCGCCGATCTTTTCGTGCAACTCCTTGCGCCTTCTCGTCTGCGGCCTCATCAGAAAACGCAATTTATCTTTTAACTTTTCAAATTAAAGACGCTATCAGTCTCCACATTTAAGAGATAAAGTGCAGCCTCTTTTTAGACGCCAGCGCCCGTCCGTGCGCGACCGGGCCAACAAAGAACGAAAAACCGACTAGCGCCGCGTCCCAGAGAAGGACGGGAACGGCCGGGACACACAGGCACACCGTCGTCGCCGACATCGTCGTGTGCATTCACGAAGAAACAATTTTGAAAAACGACTTTCTTTGTGCTTCCGCCATTAGCGACTAATTGCAACGTTTTAAAATCGCAGCTCTTCAACTAGAGAAAAGATAGGGAAAGAGAAAGAGGGCGAAAGAAGGCCATCATTGCCGGCTTCGCGTCATCATCGTTCTTGATGATAGCGTTCGCCAATCTTTTGAACACCGACTCTCAATGAGCTTGCTATTTATTACATGTGCCTACACAGCCTAAGCCTTATCGTTATTATTATTAGATATTATTGTTATCGGACATTTTCGCCCCGTTTTAAAGTATACGAGAGACGATACGACGTAGTAATAATTCAAAAGGGGAACAAAACGAGGAAGAAGAAATGTGCAAAGTAAGCGAAATGTATAGGTATTAAGATTTAAAGTTTATTGGAATTCGTACGACTCCCTTCATTAATAGAAGAGGTGGAAAATGAGAACGAGAACTAGCGGGGTAAAAGTTATTTGTGGCTGTGACGCTTTTCGTATTCGATTAATAATTTCTATGCCGAAAATGCAATGTGCAGTAGATTCGTCTTTTAGGCTTTGCGTAACAAAATAGTGAAAATAATCTTTTGCAAATCGTCTACGAATTTTGATATTTTATCTTATCTTAACATTGATTTTTGATTGACCTTATAATCTCTCACCATTAAAGACAGGGCAATTTTAGGGCGAGATATACAGAGACAAAAGATTAGTATGTTTAGATTTGCAGATCATGTAGTAATATATTAACATCTTAGAGGAAGAGTGGATACAAAGATAGGAGACGAAAAATTAGAAGAAGTCACTGATTTTCGGCGGTAAGGAAGTCAATAAGAAATAGGCGAGATAGGTTAGTACAACACACACAAGGACTAGCTAGAGACATATTATAAGCAGAAACATAAGTTAAAAGAAGTAGAAGTAGATTTAGATTAGGTTACTCTGTTCACAAACAGATAAAGATATGGGATGATCTAGAAGATTAACTAAGGACAGGAAAGAATGGAGGTAGGTACGTGTCCAGACTGATGATCCTATAATAGTGATGATGTTATAATAAAGCAGATATACAATTTTAATAAAGCGAAACAGAAATATTGAAAATAATATTTTGGTTTGCGAAGAATTTCCCTGACTATCCAAATGGAATTCTTTTGTTTACGTAGAGGTTCCCTGATAAGTGAAGTCTGTATTTTTATCTCAGGCATGTTATCCCTTTTTGTAGATACATAAGAGGTATCAATACAAATAAAGAAAGGAAATTGTTCAGGAAAGGTGAGACTACAGCTTAATGCTCATAGTTTCCGTCAATTTCAACCGTGTATCATCCTATACTTTTGCGAATTTCAGGTGATAAAAGTATCATGATTCATACACTCATCAGTTCATAATCAAAACCGAAATAATTTCAAGCACAAACCTGCTTAATATCCGAAAGGGTACTTCCGGTATATAGCTTTTGAGTTCCCCTACCTATATTTAGATATATAATTGAATAATAATCAAAAGTAAAACAATTAAAACTACTCAATTTTTGAAAATAGTGAAGTATTCTTGGCTTCATTCCAGTTGCTTCAGGTACTATAAGTCTTAGTTTCAGAGAGTCCGGGAGGTGTGACGGGAGAGTTTTTGCCCTCTAAACCAGAAAACCCTCTCCCTGCTCACATATCTTAATAACTTTGTAAGCGTCTATTTAAGAGTTATACTTAGTTTGTATAAAGAGCAACAGGCTGTTATAGAGCGGGGGATGCAACGTAGAGAAGTAAATATTAGGAAGGGAGTCAGACAGGGATGCACACTGTCACCGCTACTTTTTAATCTATACATCGAAGACGCGATCAACATTATTAAAGACAGTACAACTGTAGGGATAGATGTGCAAGGGCAAAAGATTAGTGGGTAGAAATAGTGTCCGACCGAAAGTTCGGTTTCGGTTTCGGTTTCGGTCGAATTTCGGCAAAAAAACGAGTTTCGGTTTCGGCCGAAACTGAGACCGTTGCCGAAATTCGGTTTCGGTTTCGGTTTCGGTCGGACACTAGTTAGAAATGAAGAGGTATTGGAAAGAATAGGAGAACAGAGGACTCTATGGAAGTCAATATGAAGGTCTAGTCAGCGACATATTGGAGGCAGAAACAGGAGTTAGGAGGGGTAGAGGTAGACCTAGATTAGATTACTGTTCGCAAATAGTTAAGGATGTGGGCTGTTATAGTTTTAGGGAAATGCGAAGTTTAGCTCAGGATAGGAAAGAGTGGAGGTACGTGTCCAACCAGTCTTAGGACTGACGACCGTCTGACTGATGAAGCGTCTATTTAGGTTAACAATTGCTAACGTATTTTGTCTATTGTCCCTTGATTTGTTTGTTTTCATTATCAGTTTTTCTTTTATTCTTAATTGCCCCTGTATGTATGTCAACAGAATTCTTCCCATACCTAATACGACCGCGCATGTATTATATTATATTTATTTCCTAGTAAAAGGCAAGAGTAGATGCGGCAGTGCATCACGTCAAGGACGGTCTGTTATCTCTCGGTTAATTTACAGTTTTCCACGAAACTTTTCCGGTTAATTTCTGACTCTGCTTTTATTTATTTCGTTTCAGGACGGCAGACAGACGAAAGTAACGCGAAAGAAGACGAAGAAAATGAGCAGCCACCTCTACTACTCTAGAACAATTGTACCGACCATATCGCCTACCACCATCCGATAAAACGGAAGAAGTAACCGAAAAATAAATGGCTTGAACGGCGAGCGCCGGCAAATAGCGTTGCCTTATCTTATCTTTATTTCTCCCTCAGTGACGGTTTCTTTCGCTGCGTCCAGACGGAGTTCATTTATTTCTTTAGTTCTTCTTCGTGCTGCGAAGCGAGCTCGT